CACAAAAGTGCCTGTGGCACTGCTGCTTGGGACATGCTAATTTCCCGAGAGATGTCTCAGGAAAACCCAGCCTGAGTGGCCAGCTGGTCATGGACCGAGTTCCCAGAAAGGCATTTCATCCAGTGCAAACACCTTGGAAAACGTGTCCATCTTGCCACCAAAATCTATGTATGCCACTGGCCCGGAGGGGAGGCAGGCCGGGTCCCGGCACTAAGGGCGGTGCTGCAGGTCCAGAGCTCCAGGCTCACCCCGGCCCAGGAGGACAGCCCTGTACCTGGGACCCCACTTCATGGCGCTGTGAACTTCTGCCTTGACCTTCCTCCATCAGATGTCTAGTGAGCACCAATGACATACCTGGGCCTGCGATGTGACGGTGAGAAGTCACACCCAGCCCTGCCTTCAGGGAGCGCAGGCTCTAGTGGGGGACAGATGCTCATTCTATTATTGCAGAAACAACTGTGCATTTCTGTGGTGAGCGGTGCTAGGAGGAAGAACCCAACAGCGCTACACAAGCCTGGGTAGGGGTTGACTTGGATGGGACGGCTCCCTGGAGGGTGATGCGTTAGCAGAGATCCAAAGGATAAGTGGGGACCGCTAAGCAAGGAAGGGAGGGGAGAACTCTGGAGGCAGCGGGGAGAGCATGTGCAAAGGTCCTGAGGTCGGAAGGAATCCTGCAAATGCCATAGAGCCTGAATGGAGGTGTGTGCACAACCTCAGACAGGAGAGTTGGGTGGGGTGGGGGCGAGGGTGCGCCAGCTTTGGGTGGGCATTCAGGAACACTGTCTGGCCTCCTTGGATTGCTACCCAAAAAAGAATAGAGCAGAACCTGCCACCAGGAGACACGGACCTGCCCATGGCCCGGAGGCCCATCAGATAGGAAGGACAGGNTGCCCTTCAGGCATGTTGCCACGGCAACCAGAGGCTGAATTATTCAGCAAGTGATGGCAGAAGGATCTCTGTAAGGAGGCAAAACAAAGACAAAGGGTTCCAATTAAACCATTTCTGTAGGAAAACAAATCGGCCAGCCAGGAAGGCTGTATCTGACCCCCCAGGGAGGGATGCAATTTCTCCTAATTCTGGGGGTGCTTTTCCCTTTTTAAACATGGTGACAAATGTCTAAGGCATCACTACTCCATTCCAGTCCATGGTTTCAAATTAGTTACAGATTCAGCGGGAAATGCCCAGAACCGGGGCCCTCGGGCCTGGCGACCCTGCCCCCCACCTTCTCCAGCTCCCTCTGCACCTGCGGGTGGGTGTGGGGTCCCCAGGCATCACCGCAGTAACTGTGCTCTATTTTTAAACCACAAATACGATCATTGTTTACTACTTTTCCTTTAAATACATTCACTTAATCCTCTATGCTGAAGGAGAACTTGCTTCGTTTATCAAATAGAAAACCATTATCAACTGGCATCGTTAGAAGGTAGCTAAAAAAATTATGCCACGAGTCAATATAGATAGATATATGTTTTTACCTCTGGTTTACGGAAGGCTTTCAAACATGGCACAAATAGTATGAACCACACAGTATATCAGAGGTTGGCAAACTTTGTCCCATGGGCTGCTGCCTGTGTTTGTAAATAAAGTTTTGTTGGCACACGGTTATTCATCACATTTGTTACACATCACCCATTCGTTTCACACGGTCTCTGGCTGTGTTCATGCTACAATAGTAGTGGTGTGTAGTTAC